CTCTTCTACCTCTTAAGATGTGACCACAGGCTGTGCCATCAAGCCATGACCCCCCCCCTTGTGTGACGTGGGGGTCAAACCCAGGTCTTCTTGCTCAGTAGCCAGTCACTCTACCAGTTGGGCTGCAGCCCAAAGCTTGTGTCTGACTCCATTTTTTAAATGATGAACGAATGTTGCTTCTAACAGTCAGTAGGTAATGATAACGGCCCTCAGTTTGCACTGCTACAAAGGACCACAGGGCCTCTGTCATGTGCAGTGGGAGCCCCTGCTGCCTCCCTGTCCTCCCGTTCATCTCCTAGGCTTCCCACGAGAGAGGCCTTGCAGTTCCTGGCCAGGGACCTCCCTGGTTCTCCCTGGTTCTGCAGAAATGCACTCAGCCTTAGGGTCTGGCTCAAATGTTACCACCCTCCAAGAGAATTAGTGTCTCCCTGGCGACAGGGTAGCCACCTGTTTCCTGCTGGCCTGGATTCCTCTGGTGTGTGGACCTGGTAGTGTGAGTCACTGTGCTGCCAGGGGCAGGCCAGGCCCTGGCTTAGAATGAGGGTGAGCGTTCCCACGATGGGCGCGGCCCCAGACCCTACTGCTTCCTCCTCCTCCTGGCAGGCGGGAGCCTTAGAGTGGAGGTAGCTGTGGTCACACATCACTGCCACGTCTCCTTTCTGCTGGTGTCTTGGGTGCGGTCTTGGTGTTCTGCCTGATGTGGCCGCAGTCTGTACTCACTGATTCTGCTGGTGTCTTGGGTGCTGTCTTGGTGTTCTGCAGTCTGTTCTCACCGATTGCTGGGGCTTTCTACCTAGTGATATTTTCTTTAGAGGGGAATGAACCTAAGACCTTTTGTATGGAAAGCATGTCCTCTACGGCTGAGTTAGCCCAGTCCTCCCTATAAATATTGACTTAACAAAGGTGGCCTTTTCCTCTTCCCTTCCCCTCTTCCTCCCTCTCTCTGGAGTTTCTAGTAGCTTATGCTGCCTTGAACTCCTAATCCTCATGCTTCTACCTCCCAAGTACTAGGGTTACAGGCACCTAAGGAAGCAGAAGCCCAGCTTAAGAGACGCTGGTAGCGATGCCCTCTTACCCAGCCATTGCTGCCTCATCCTGACTCTTACTCACAGGGAGATTCACCCAGAGGAGAAGGCCTAGCCTGAGAACTATGACTCAGTATTTCTTTCGTCATCACCTGCAGCCAGGGCGACCGGGGCTAACCTTAGATGTGGGGAGGGTACAGCAGAAACTCCAGACTATTAAAGATTCCCCTGCACTCAAAAATCTTTCCATTAAAAGGCAGTCCTGACTAATACTTACTGGCTCCTTACTGTGTGCTAAGCATGAGTGCCTTTTCTGGATTGAGAAGAGGGTGCGCTTATTATATTTTACACATAGGATACTGAGACACAGAGAGGCAGACTTGAGTGGCCCACAGTGGCTCACTTAGCCAAGTTGTCCAGTGAGGATATGAGCTCTGTGCCCTTAACCCATGAAGCTGTCCTGCCAGACTTATGTTGTCTGCTTCAGAGTCCTGCAAACATAACCTGACACTTGACCCCTCTGCTCAGTGGCACCTATCTGTGTGTCCTAGGTCCTGATTCTGGGACTAACTACTCACCCCACATCCAGAAGCTAGAGGACCTCCCCACCAGGATAAGGTGGGCGTGAACCACATGGAGCCCACTGGGAGTCCTCTTTCCCAAAACATATGAGAAGGTCCTCTAGCTTATTCGGAGACTGCTGCATGCCCGCTTTTCAGAGTGCCGCAGTGATGGTGGCGGCTGGCAAGCTTGCCTCGTCAGAGGTATGAGGGGTTGGGGCCCAGTGAGGCACAGCTATCCGCAGAGTGTCCAAGTGGGACTCAAACACAGAACTCTCATGTCATATGCTGGCTTTTCGATAAATCTAGCTGCATGCTTCCCTGGGATGCTGTAGCTTTGGAGTCTATGGAGATGCTTACTCCTCGGGACACCAAAGCTATTCCATTCCTACTTCTCCTCCTTCTCAAGCTTCCACTCGTGTGGGGATTGCCAGGGGAGAAATCTTAAAGGAGAGTCTCCTTCCCCCTGGGAGGTGGGACCTTGGTCTGTCTATCCACAGCATACCCTCAGACGCTGTGAAGCAGGGGGTTTTCAGCCCTCCCTCATGGCAGGGAGTCAGTCAGTACAACAGAAATCTCCCCACGAGTGACTGTCTCTTTCTTGATTTTGTTGTGTAGGTGTGCCTCTTTCGGGGGAGGGATGAAACGACCAGTCCTATTTTTTTTTCCGAGACAGGGTTTCTCTGTGTAGCCCAGGTTGTACTGGAACTCACTTTGTAGACGAGGCTGGCCTTGAACTCACAGAGATCCACCTGCCTCTGCCTCCCAGGTGCTGGGATTAAAGGTGTGCGCCACCACCTGGATCAGACCTATCTTTGTACTGAGGATGTCTTCCTTAGGGTTTGGGCTGGTGTGATGAAACACTGGAATTAACTCTGGAGGAAAGGGTTATTTCATCTGGTAACTCTTAGGTCACACTCCAGCCCTGAGGGAAGTCAGCAGGAACCAAAGCAGAAACCACAAGAAAACCTACTGGCTCGCTCAGTTTGATTTCTCAGGACTATCTGCCTGGGCATGGCACCGCTGGACCCTTCCACATCCATCACCAATCAAAGAAAAAAAAAAAGCCCAGTGAGCTCTCCTGGAAGCCAACCCGATGTGAGGGGCCATTCTTTACTTGAGACTTCCTGTTCCCTATGTCTAGGTTTGTGTCAAACTGACCAAAACAACTGGCACGGAGGGCCACACCCTTCTCTTGGGTCACCCTCTCCTGGCAAAGCTCCCGGGGGCTAGCAGCCATCTGGGGTTCTCATGTTCTCTGACCAGGCTGTGCTCTGTGGCTGAGGTCCTATAGCAGAGCCCCAAAGTGGTTTCTTAACCTGTGACACCATCACTTCAGAACCATCCCTGTGAATTAAGAGCATTGCTGAGATTCTGCCCTTACCCAGGGCAAGGGGACAGGGCCTAGAAGTATTCCATGCTATGCCAGCATCACCGTATGTCCTACGAACCGAAACTGAGTAACTTTGCTTAGGACATGTACTTTGGAGAGTCATAGACTTCGGTTTAAATGCCGGGTCTACCTCAGAGTAGTTGTGTGGTCTGAGTCGATTCTTAACCTCTGTGGGACTCTGTTTCCACATCTATATGAAATGGGTACTTCCCAAATTTTTGGTCTTGCTGGGAGTTAATCCTCACAGAGGGACTAATTCCTCTCTCTCTCTCCCTCTCCCTACCCCTGCCACACACAGATACACACAGTCACACACAGGTGGACAGACACAGATACACACAGAAGGATACACACACAGACACATACCCACAGATATGCACAGGATACACAGAGAGAGACACACAGATGAACAGACACACATACACACAGATACACACACACATACACACACAGATACACACACACACACCCTTGTTTGCCTGAAGTGCATGCCTTAGCCTGATAAAGAGGCACAGGCATAAATACTTTTTTTCTGGGGTGGGGGGGAACAGCTGTGAGCCAGTTAGAGCAATGCTCATTACTCACCCACTGGCAAACACTGAATTTCCATTTCCTCTGGGATAGATTCAGTGTAGTGTTTGAAGGTGACCAGGTCCTTTCCCATGCTCAGGTGGGAGCCAGCTCAGGTTAGGGGTCAGGAATTGTGAATAAAATACAATACAATTCTGGCTCTCTCGATGTCCCCAGCTGTGTGTCTCTCTGTCCACCAACTCCCTGCCAGACCTTCTCCACTTCCCATTCCCAAGCCCCCCATGGGCTTCAGGCCCAGCCTGGGAGACCTCTGGGGCAAACCCTTAGCCTGTCAAGGTCCTTGGGACCTTCAACCTCGAAGCTGGCCCCCAGGGATTCTGGAGTCTCCATTGTTGTCCTTCTAGACTCTTGCAGCCCAGCCAACCCAAAGGAATGGCAGAGTTTGTGAAAGCCTCAGCATTCATAGTGGGCCACTCCCCTCCGGAAACGTTCCCCAACTCTGCTGAGAGCCTGCCAGGAGACTTGGTGACGGCTGCTCTTGGCACACAATAGACTGGGGTCAGAACAATGTCGAGGAGAGAAAACATCCGCCTGTCGCCTGTCCATAGGCTGCCATCCTCCTGGGACACCCCGCACCCCATGACCAACTCTGGGCTCCCAGAGGAGGGAGGGGTGCCCCTCAGGGCTAGAGGCAGCTGTGGCAGCCAGCAGGGGAGGCGCAGGCTGGAGGCAAGGCTAAACCTCCCCAGCTTGACAGCACCCTCAACAGATGTGTGAGTCAGATTAGAAGTCAAATCCGCTCATCCTGGCTCCCCTGCCAGCCCTGGGACCCCCACTCACAGCCCCAACACTGGACAGGATTAAAACCCAAGCTGGCACATAAAACAGTCCTAAGTACATGACTGAGGAAAACAACGGGCTGGGCAGGAGGATGTACCGTGGACTGCTTAATTCACCATGCACAGGGAGCTAACGCTCCAGATGCCTCCACAGTCCCTGAAAGGAATCATCCCACCTGCCCTCTCTGCCCTTGGGAAGTTTCTGAAGCAAAACTGGCTACTGCGCATGAAGTGCCTCAGTACTTACAAAGGAGCTACTTGGCCCTCAAGCAGCATTACCCCAAAAAGGCCTCAGGGGAAGGGCTCCCCTGAGGAAGATCACAGCTAAGTAAATTAGCACATGCCCTCCTCAGCCCGGTTCAAGAGAGAGACAACAGGGCTAAAACCCTGGGGTCTGGGGACAGACCACACTAGACAGAGAATTTCAAGATAATCTGGATTCAAGGGTCCTCCTAGAAGTGCTGTTTCTCCTCTAAGTTCTGTGGTGTTTTAAGTGTGTATATTTGGGTGGCCTCTTCGACAGTGAGGGGGCCCCATGGCCCTTTGTGCCAGCATTGTTGAAGGACATAAACCAAGGAGGGCTTCCTGGAGGAGGCAAGTTTGAGACTTGCTTGAGAGAAAGAGAAGGGGACACATCTCACGAAACACCGAGGCGCTCACTTCGGGGCCCACATATAGTGGAAGTGGAACGAGACAGAGAAGATTAGCATGGCCCCCGTGTGAGGATGACACAAACTCAAGAAGTGTTCCCTACTTTCCTCTAATCTTTGTCTGGGCATATGTATGTAGAAGTGAGTGTAAGCAGTCGTCATGGAACTAAAAGGGGCCCATGAAGGGTTGGAGGGGGAGGCTTCGAGGTAGGGGAGAGCAATAGAAGGTGTGTGGTGTAAAAACGGGAAGGGGATTCTGGAGGTGGGATGGTACAGGCTGGGAGGTGGGGAGAGGAAGAGGAGGGAGCCTCTAAAATAAATTATGTGTGCAAATGCCACGAGGGCTGGGGGCAGAGAGTGGCTCAGCAGTTACGAGCACTGGCTTCTCTTCCAGAGGACCTGGGTTTGAATTCTAGCACCCACCTGGCCGCTCGCAACGGATCGAACTCCAGTTCCATGGAATCTGATGCCCTCTTCTGGTCCCTGCAGGAACTACATGCACATTCACAGACATCCATGCAGGTAAGACATCCAGACACATAAAACAAAAAGTCTTTTATAAAAAATAATTTATTTAACTTTATTTTATGTGCATTGCTGTGAAGGTATCAGATCCCCAGGAACTGGGGTTACAGACAGCTGTAAGTTGCCGTGTGGATGCTGGGAATTGACCCTGGGTCACCTGGAAGAACAGTCAGGGCTCTTAACCATTGAGCCATCTCTCCAGCCCCAACAAAAATAATCTTAAAAAGAAAGTTCTGTAGAGGCTTGAGAGGTGGCCCAGTCAGTAAGATGCCTACAGCATAAGCATGAGGGCCTGAGTTGGGATGCCTGCAACTCAGGTAAAAAACCAGGATGAGCACTTGGCACTGGGTGGGGTGGGCAGCAGGGCGAGGGACACAACCACAGGCAGCAGCTAATCCCTACGTTATTGGCCAGTCAGTGTAGCCAATCACAGAGCTCCCCACCTAGTGAGAGACCCTGCTTCAAAAACCATGGTGAGAGCAATTGAGACAAAGGCAATGTTGACATCTGATGAAGACATGTGCACCATACACAGATAAATACATGTACATACATACACCACACACACACGCAGAGAGAGAGAGAGAGAATATGTAATAAAGAAATCTGCTACTTTGTATGCTAACTAAAAATTAAATTAAAAGCAATGTAGCTCATCAGTAGAGCACTTGCCTAGCGTGTGGGAGTCCCTGGGCTCATCCCCAGTACAGGGTTAGGTTGGCATGCTATTCAAGTCAGGGAAGGCATTCTGAAGGCATCTGGAGCCCAGTTTCAGGAAGCAGGGTTGTAAGTTAGCGGTAGCACATACCCTGCACGCATAAGCCTTGGATTCCATCCCCAGCACTCCCTGGACAATCAGGCATGCAGGACCCATTTTCACGATAGGGATGGAAGCACTGGGTTCCAGCACATGCAAGGGGCCTGACCAAGGCTCCTTGAGTAGCAGCTAGGATAGAGGTGCTGCAGAGGGGTGGGAAGGGCACCCAGGCACGGGGTGCAAAGGAAGGTAGCCCTTTCTAGGTAAGTGGGCCATCAATTAGCAAGACTGCAGAGCATGCGAAAGAGAGCAGGACAAGGGCACCTTGCTGGGGAGTGGGCACAGCCCTTACTGATGCTAACAGGCCAGCGCAGCATGTGTTGAGCGCCCCAAGCCTTTGGCTAGGAACACCCGTGGGCACAGAGCGGGAAACGAGAAAGCACGCTGGTCTAGCTGAGCTCAAGGGGTGGAGCCCCGGCGAGCTGCTCTGGGAGTGGGGCCTGGCTGGCAGGTGGGTTCCAACAGGTTCCCAGCGTAGCAGATGCTTCCTGTTTATGGTAATGCTGAGACTTTCAGACACCTTTGAGCCTGGAGGTGGAAGTTCCATTCAGTTTAGGAGACTGGAAACACCTGCCGTCACTGTGGGCCTGAGCCCTCAGCAGTAGTGAGGGCTCTGTTTATCTCTGCTCAAATCTGTGAAACAGACGCAACGCCCACTGGCAGCCATGCTTGTCATTTTTGAAACAGCTGCTTTCTTCTTGACTGGATACAAGGAAAGATTCCTGTACTTGTATTTTAATTTCTAATGTTTTACAGAGCACTTTGAACTGAGTGGTTTTCTCTTTCAGATAGGAGGAGCTCACTGTGTTGTCCAAGCTAGTCCCTGGGTTAGCTCCTGGGTTCAAGTGATCCACTTACCTCAGCTTCCCAAGTCTCAACATTCTCTCTCTGTCTCTTTGTCTCTGTCTCTCTCTGTGTGTCTCTCTCCCTGTATCTCTGTCTCTCTCTGTTTCTGTCTCTGTGTGTCTCTCTCCCTGTCTCTGTGTATCTGTCTGTCTCTGTCTGTGTCTCTGTCTCTGTCTCTAAGGTTTCTCTGTGTAACAGTCCTGGCTGTTCTGAAACTCCCTTCATAGACCAGGTTGGCCTCAAATCACAGAGATCCTCCTGCCTCTGCCTCTTCAGTGCTGGGATAAGTGTACGCCACCATCCTGGGCTTTAGAAAGATTTCTAACATTCTTGTTTTAATAAAAATGATTTTGAGCATGTGTGGGGGCACGCGCCCTTAATCCGAGCACTGAGGAGGCAGAGACAGGTGGCTGCTTGTGAGCTCTGGAGTTGGAGCATTTAGGACTCTGGCCAGTGGATTCCCTCACCAAGTAGGGAACATGCAGAATGGCAGGTGACTGAAGGCAGCCGCTTCAGGATGTCTGCGCGAGGCAGGAAGAAAAGCAGACCCTAACTCCCTCCCTCCTCCCTGGCAGCCGTCTACTCTTGCATACTCTGGCTTCAGGAATCCCAGAATCTCAGATTCATCTGTGGTCCTCAAAAGCCATCTGGTTGAAAGCTAATAGCTAGCCACACCCTGAAGTCCAGGGAGGAGGGGTTTTCATGAGCACAGAAAGCGTACTAGACATACTCCTCCCCAGGCTCTGGCGAGCGTGTCTACCCAGCCAGTTGTACCTGGCTGCCCTGTGTAGCAATGGGAGAAGTTCAAAAACAGGATCAGGCCAGGCGTGGCGGCGCACACTTTTGATCTCAGCATTCAGGAGGCTGAGAGAGGGATCCCTATATGAGTTCAAGGCCAGCCAAAGCTACGTTGCGAGACTCAGTCTCAAAATAAAGTGGGGCGGGGCTGGGGGGGCAGAATCAACTAGAAGTGGATCTGCCTGCCTTCCTCGGGAACCTGTTGTGACCTGTTGGAGTCAGTGGTCTTCTCACCATGCCTCCAGTCTGCTTGAATGATCTTGGGGATGGAGTACTCCATTCCTCAGAAGGCAGCCAGGCTGCACTGAGCAACCTGCGGTCCAATGCTTTTTGTCTTAATTCTCCTTCTATGCTTACTTCAGATGCATTTAAAGACGTGGGAAAACAAGGCAAAACAAACAAATAAACAAACCCCTGGCTGGCCAGATAGCTCCATGGTTAATGCCAATGGATCCAGGTTCCATTCCTAGTACTATGTGGCAGCTCTAGCTCCAGGGGATCTATCGCCCTCCTCTGGCTTCTGCAAGCTCCTGACATGTAAGTGTTGCAGAGACATGTGCAGGTAAAACACTCATACACATAAAATAAAATTTAAATTAAAAAACTCAGATAAAGTCATTTCTTTTTTAGTTTTTTTTGTTGTTTTTGGGGGGTTGTTATTTTTTTCAAGACAGGGCTTCTCTGTGTGTATCCCTGGCTGTCCTGGAACTTGCTCTGTAGACCAGGCTGGCCTCCAACTCACAGAGATCCACCTGCCTCTGCCTCCCCAGCATTGGGACTAAAGGTGCGAGCTCTAAAGTCATCTCTCCAAGTCTCACAAGATATTTTAAATAGATTCTACTTAATGCATTCTTACTGAGATCATATCACGGGTGAAGAATGAAAGGAAAATAAACATGATTTCCAATTTTAACTCCTGGCTGGGATCCCCTAGGAAGAGAGCAAGCTGGAGTTCGTGGTATAGAGAAGGGAGAGTGACTGGCAGAGTGATGGCAGCAAGCCAGTAAGTACTTCATGGCATCCTCTGTGCCAGACCCCTTGTGAAGACTTTGTGACCATCACTATCACTAGCTGTTTTACAGAGAAGGAAATGAAGGCTCAGAGTGGTCACATGTCCACAGTGACTCAGCGCTGGGGATAGGAGTAGACGTGATTCCGTTGTATCCCCAGGTTTGCAACCCTGTACCCCAGAAGCTGGGACTAATAGGTCCTCTTCAGGGAACATACATTGGCATTACCAAAAGTTTCTGTTGCATCTAAAAGAAACTCCCGGCAATTTATTGTATTGTGTGGTATGAGGGAATGGAACCCAGGGCTTTAGACACGCTAGTTAGGCAATTATTCTATCAATGAGCTATATGCAGGCCAGGAAGTTGTGAAACAATGACTAATGGGCAATTCTTCATCCCTCAAGGGCTGAAACCTCATGAGAGGAGGCAAAAACCACATTCTAAAGCCACAAGCGACCGAGCTCGAGAGGAAGCAGGGCTAAGTCAGGGTGAGGTTTATAGGTGGCACAGGGGGACAGTCTGGCAGGTAACTGGGAGCGGTGACAGATGCTGGGGGGGAGGAGGTACTGAGTGGTGATAGAGAATGTGGGAACTAGGGAGACCTGGGGGAGGAGGAGGTACTGGGTATCCGGCAGGGAGCAGGGGCAGGCGCGCTCTTGCCGGCTCTGGCTGTGTAGCCCACGCCTACTAAGTCACTGACGTCACTGGGAAGTGGACATGGGTGCCGAGAGGGTGGGTACTTGACATCTGAGGCTTCTTGGGACTGAGGTGTGATGGATAGAGGGGTATAGCTGTCGGTCTCTTCGTTGGGGAAGAACAGGGGTTGGGCTATTTATTTGTTTTAGAAACAAGCACTGTGTTGTCCAGGCTGGCTCTGAATTTTGCCTCTGCGTGTCACGCAGTTGGCACTGTAACCTGTGCCACTGCAACCACGTGGGTCACATTACTGCTCTGGTTGGTGTCGTCACCTCGACACCCTCCAGAACAGTGAGTCTCAATCCATGGGTTGTGACGCCTTTGGGGATCGGCCAACCGTTTCACAGGGATCGCCTAAGACCATTGGAAAACACACATATCTGCATTATGATTCATAAAAGCAACAAAATTACAGT